ATATATATATATATATATATATATATATATATTTAAATTACATGAATCAGTTATTTTAGAATTTGCAGAATTAAAATGGTTTAGCAACACTAAAAGCGACACCTCACACATTTTGATGGGATGTTTTGCACCAGAGACATTTTTGGGGGGAGGGCTCTTTTTAATATGAGATGCTGATGGGAGATAATCCCACGACTGATAATTCACGATTTGAGTTTCTTTGTGCTAAAACAAAGAGCTGGGAGGCGCCCATGTGCTGACAACACATTCAATCGCGCTATGTATACTCGATTTACAAAACACAAGATATGTGCTAATGTAATCACACACATAGGTGCTAATTGCCCTACAGTGCGTGCAAGTTTGTGCGTCTCAAAATGTGACCTCTGCCGCCACAGATACTTTGTCCATGGATAACATGACGAAATTAATAATAATAATAATATTTTAGGGGAATACCACTGTTTGAATCGGGCGAAAATTGTGTTTTGCCATTTTTATGATGACATTCTACAATGTAGGCTACATTCAGCAAAGAAATATGTATTGTACAGTTATTAATGAGGGAAATATCATTATAAGAAAACCATTTTTTTGCTCTTTCCAAACGACATTTACGTTTTCTTTGTGAAGTCGAATCTTGTGCTAACTCTTTTTTTACGTGAAAGCGATAAATCATTTAAAACCAGAAAAAAATGCAATTTTATATCAATAAAGGCACCATTGTTTTGAAAAGTAAAAAAAAAAAAACTAAACTGAATAAAGTTCACATAGAACTCTTGAAATATTTTAAACTCAGCTATTCGTTCAATATAGAGGGGGAGCTGTATTAAAAGAAGGTCATTTCAAATTTAGCCTTTACTGCCACCTTTCGGACAAATTATGGAAAAACAAAGAGAATAGTCAATGTAGGCTAATACACAGTTATGCTGCTTTGGGGGAAAATGTAAGATATGGAAACTAATTGTGTTTATAGTAGCCTAACACGTTTAAATTGTTTAACTATTTAAATCACAATTTTATTTTTATTTTTTTACTTTTAAAAAGCGTAGCCTATAATTTCATAATGCAATTGATGATGATGGTAAATATTCTTAGCGATATAAACACGTTCGTCAGGCATGTTATTTATGCTGTAGACTAAATAAATGACAACAATGATATATTGCTAAAGGAGGACCGATGGTTTGCGTGTAACACATCCTGATGGTTAAAATGTTATGTAGCTTTGGAAATGTACCGCTTGTATACTTCATCTTTGGATCATCAATCTATAATCATACCTGTCAACATTTTGGTGCTCAATGGCAGAGGCAGGCTAAATACATAAATACATCATAGCCTACATAATTATTAATAAAAATAAAAATGATGAAAATTGAAAATTATGACAATAACGTGGCTTATTTATGTTTCTTTGTATTTATTTTTATTATTATTAAAACATTTTATTACATAAACAGAAACACTGTTTAATATTAAATTTAATGCGCTGAGTACCGTCATTTTCCCCACCGTGTCCGATATTAAAATCAGTTCGACACATTTTGCAAAAGGCGTGGACATTGTCGATATGGCTTCGAGATATGAAATTAAATTCTTCCGTCCAGCTGTTGTTAAATATACATGTAGGGCCTATATTTGGTTTTTTTCGCACCACCTGAGTCTCTCCTCCCAGTGACGCAACTTCCCGCGTCACTACCTGCGCAGATATCAACAGCGCAACTGGGTTGCAGGTTGCCAGGTTTAGGGTCACAAATGGGTTGAAATGTGTATGATGTGTCGATAAGGATGCGTGTGAGTAGGATGCGTTTCATACAAGATCTGGCAACTGGACAAACTTGGAATAATATATTGATGTGATTATTCATATAACAAGGTTTGGGCCCTACAAATTACGGGAGTTTTCCGGGAGAAATAACAAAACGGGAGGGGGGCGGGAGATGGGTGTGAAATTCGGGATACTTCCGGGAAAAACGGGAGTGTTGACACATGTATTCAGGGGTGCGCATAAGTGGTGCGTACGCAGGTGCGCATGCGCGAAAAAAAAAAATGCGATGTGTAAATATGTTTGAGAAACGTTCTCATTACTAGCAACAATTTTGCTATTAAAGCTAAGGCAAAATGGTCAGCACTTTACCCAAACATTACTTTTTTATGGTATGGACTGTGCCAAATGCATTTTTGTTTAATAATAAAGTAAAATAAATTCATCTTAAAATCATCATTATTACCCTTGTAATAAGTATCTATGTCAATTTAACCATAATATTTCTCCACTCTGCTCTTTCTGCCAAGAGGAAGAAGAATCTATATTTCACATTTATTATATTTCTGTTATAGCTAATTCTAAACAATTCTGGCTTCCCTATTTCTTGTGTTCCACCGGCTCTGTAGTATTTCCATCAGTAAGGTTATTTTCCATTCTGATTGTTCTGACAATAAGGAGTTAGATGATGTCTTAAACGTTATGATGGGTAGGCTAAATACCATATCCATAAAGCTAGATAGCCTACCTGAAATTTAAACCCAGCTGCAAAATATTTGCTTCTGATCTACATTTATTATTGTCATCACTTCAAAAAGTATCCTCTAATAAAAAATCTCTGAAGACATCTCTTTTTATAGAACGGGTTTTAAATAAATTGTAATTTGTATTTTTTTCTCTCTTTTTTTCCTCTTTCCTCTGTATCCTCCCATATGTTCTGTGTTATTTGTTCTGTATTTTCTTTTTCTTTTATATTGAACTATATTTCTGCAAAAAAAAAAAAAAGTCGACATGAAACTAACAACAACAAAAATCACACCGCTCATTTGCGTAACGACATTGTTGACAGCTGTTAATGCACAATCACTGTTTTAGATCGACTAACTGTAATACTGTATAAGATTAACACTCAAACTGAAAGCATAAATCTAGGCTAAGCGCTGCCGGTTTCAGAGCAAAATGCAAAACTGACATTTCATTCACTGACGCGCTTCACTCGGCAGCGGCAACCCGCCAAAATAAAAGTTTGCTGATTTTAGGTTTGAAAATAATGAAAATTCTTTAAAAAAAAAGTTAATATTAGCAATTTTATTTTTAAGTGTACTATAAAACAACGGAATTTTTTATTGTATACTCATTTTGTTTTTAAATATAATAGTATTATCACACGGATTACTTTGTTTATTATTTTATTTTATTAAAATACTAAATAAATAAATGCTATAATACTATTATCACTATTAATCATTATTTTATTTTTATAGTTATATTTAATGAGTCACACTATGTGCAGTGTGAGTGCCAAACCAAGGGCAAGTTCAAGCTCAAAAACGTGCACCATTTTGCTACGGTTTCCGGTTTTCGTGATAATACCGCATACCGTAATAAAAGCATTAGCAATTAATCGCAACATGAAAATTTGATACCGGCATATCCCTATACAGGGACATTCATTTAAAATAATAATCATTTACAAATTAATTTAAATATAATATAATAATGTTGTGTAGTCTTTAATACTATAGACACAGCCAGTTTTACTCACTGAAAGATTTATTCGTCATAAAATTATTACTTCATAGTTGTATTACATACACATGCTATACAGATAATGTAGAGTCGTGCATTAATTTGAGTGATGACAGATATTATGGGAGTGGCTTGGTGGAGCGCAGGAGATGCAGATAACATGATCTAGAAAGAAACTTTAAATAATGTTGTCACGTAACAAATCTGTTCAAATATAAAATTAAATGAATTGCTAATTGCTACGTTGAAATAAAAATGTAAAGCCTGTACAAAAATTAGAAATCGTGAATACAAATAGGCTAATTGGGAATTTTTTAATTATATGATGTCATTACGTTGCTGTCTTGCCGCCAGCCAATCGCTGCATTGCTGATCGTGGTTTCGAGTATCGATACATAGCCCCTTTTAAACCAACCCATGAACACGCAATTATCTCAGATAACTCAATCCAGCCAGACTAATCATCAACAACAGCTGCGTTTGAAGAACCGAATTATCCAGATCCTGATTAGCGCGATGATATCATCTTGGATGTGACATTTCATCTCGGATGTAATAAGTGACGTAGGAAGAACGGGCCCCAGAGGTTGGAATTTGGAACCCACTCTGACGTCACCGCATCGACCTGCGCATGCGCATGGACTATAAAAGGCGGGTTCGCATGTTCGTTCTTCCCAGTTCCGTCTTCCTTGACCAGGGTAAGTAATGTTCACTTTGTAATTTTTTTTTTTTTTTTCTCTTTTAATCTGCTAGAAATATTTTTTTAAAGCACGTTCTACAAATGATTTACCAAAACACGCATTGTGATAAAGTTGTAAGGATAACAAAAGTGAAATTTAGGATTTTGGGGTAGTTGCATGTTGACCACGTGGCTCGTTTTCGGTGCACGCGGGAAGGTCAAGACAATGAAAGTTTCCCTGGTTTAGTTTTATTCTATTGTTTAGTGCACTATGTTAATAAAATGTTAAATACCAGTTAGTCCATTGTTTCAACGTTGCATACAGGCCATTTAAGTGACTTTTTGCAGTAGGTTATTTCTAGTTGCTTAATTGTTTGTTACTTTGTGTTTTACTTTGTAGTAGTTTTGCAGTATGTGGACTGTTGGACCATGGAGTTGTGCTGTAGTGCTACTCAGATTTTGGTGAGTTTAGATCTACACTAGACTTTGCTTTAAAACTTCTGGTAGCAATGATGACGGATCTTTTTTCCCCAGCAGACCGACACTGTTGACCCTTTATAACGAAATAAGCCAAATGATCTGAGCAACCATGTTGTTGCCACAAAATCTGGTATTCATGTTTTTTACGGTCATTGACTTTTACTACTCCTGTCCCTACAGATCATACTGGAGCAGAATGGATAACCTTAAATTCATCAGACTTTGTTTCATAAGTCATCCACATACTAAAACAGGTAAGGTTGAACATGTTTTTGGCACATTTGGTTGATATTTACCTGGTGCATATGATGACTGATCTTTTTTCCCCAGCAGATCGATAGTGTTGACATTTGCTCTAAACTTTAAGCCAATTTATCTGAAGCACCATCAGAGCTGCTTGGCATACAAAATATTGGTGCTTTTCTTGTTCTTAAGTCCTCTTTGTCTTCCCCAAAAGGAGTAATTCAGTAGTTCAGGAGGACCAGAGGACTTCACACGATGAATGGCCACATGTGAAGGTAGTTTTCAGAGAAGAACGGGCCCCAGAGGTTGGAACTTGGAACCCACTCTGACGTCACCGCATCGACCTGCGCATGCGCATGGACTATAAAAGGCGGGTTCGCATGTTCGTTCTTCCCAGTTCCGTCTTCCTTGACCAGGGTAAGTAATGTTCACTTTGTAATTTTTTTTTTTTTTTTCTCTTTTAATCTGCTAGAAATATTTTTTTAAAGCACGTTCTACAAATGATTTACCAAAACACGCATTGTGATAAAGTTGTAAGGATAACAAAAGTGAAATTTAGGATTTTGGGGTAGTTGCATGTTGACCACGTGGCTCGTTTTCGGTGCACGCGGGAAGGTCAAGACAATGAAAGTTTCCCTGGTTTAGTTTTATTCTATTGTTTAGTGCACTATGTTAATAAAATGTTAAATACCAGTTAGTCCATTGTTTCAACGTTGCATACAGGCCATTTAAGTGACTTTTTGCAGTAGGTTATTTCTAGTTGCTTAATTGTTTGTTACTTTGTGTTTTACTTTGTAGTAGTTTTGCAGTATGTGGACTGTTGGACCATGGAGTTGTGCTGTAGTGCTTACTCAGATTTTGGTGAGTTTAGATCTACACTAGACTTTGCTTTAAAACTTCTGGTAGCAATGATGACGGATCTTTTTTCCCCAGCAGACCGACACTGTTGACCCTTTATAACGAAATAAGCCAAATGATCTGAGCAACCATGTTGTTGCCACAAAATCTGGTATTCATGTTTTTTACGGTCATTGACTTTTACTACTCCTGTCCCTACAGATCATACTGGAGCAGAATGGATAACCTTAAATTCATCAGACTTTGTTTCATAAGTCATCCACATACTAAAACAGGTAAGGTTGAACATGTTTTTGGCACATTTGGTTGATATTTACCTGGTGCATATGATGACTGATCTTTTTTCCCCAGCAGATCGATAGTGTTGACATTTGCTCTAAACTTTAAGCCAATTTATCTGAAGCACCATCAGAGCTGCTTGGCATACAAAATATTGGTGCTTTTCTTGTTAAGTCCTCTTTGTCTTCCCCAAAAGGAGGAATTCTGTAGTTCAGGAGGACCAGAGGACTTCACACGATGAATGGCCACATGTGAAGGTAGTTTTCAGAGTGTATATTGTGTATATTCTTTGTTCACTAACTTGGTTTTCATCTAAAATTTGGTTCTTTCACATTTTCTAGGCATTTGAGAGATTTGTTCCTCCGAAGGCTCTGGACTGTCAAACCCACGTGGAGAAGTACATAATGGTCCCTCTAAGCAGTCCAGCGTTGACTAGTTATGGGGAGAAACATTTTATGCATTAAAGTTGACCTATTCCAACCTATTTTTTTTTTTTTTTCCTCTTTCTAATCCTAAGAATTATTGCTTGTGTTTTATGTAAGTGCATAAATAGTCTTGCAGCTGGCACTTACCTCTCTTACTTTTACAATAAAACTATTAAACCATGAATTGATTTTTGCGTTCATTAACTTGTTCTCTCATTCATCTGTGACCTTGAGGTGAAATGTGAATTTAGTGGGACCATTAGCTGAATGAAATTAATAGTTGGTTAGTGGACGTCTTATGGCCGTTCTAACTGAGCAAAATGCAAGTAAACATTAACTTGTACAATTACTGTAGGTTAAGTGATTAAAACACTGGGATTTAAAGAGTCGGTGAATCTGACTGATCACATGTGGTTACTTTTGTCACCTCAAGGTAAATGGTACATTTCTAACCAGAGTAGAAAGTGTCTTGATGCACTTAAAACACACCAGAATTATATATTCTACTGCACACAGTTAAGTACTCATTCACATTAACCAAGCAGTAGCTATTTAAATGTTTATTCTTTCATTTTATGAATGGTCACAAAGCTTGCTTCTCAAAGGTTTTACATTAGTGGATAGTGCATCTAAAATTGGAATAACTGACAGTATTTGTTTAGGGTACAGAGAAAAGACCATTCACACGCCAAGTGCACAGCTCTGCTTTCAACTATATTTTAACAATGTAGTTCCCATGTGTGTTTTCTGACCCCATTTCCCAGAAAGTAAAACCAATATTAATCACACACTTCTGTACAAAATATACAGATGTTTTGTAAGACGTTGGATGAGACTATATATGTAAGACATCTCACACTAAAAAAACCTGTTGCACGAAATCCACCCAATGCTGCAATTAGATCTTTAGTGTCTGTAGTGATCCTCACTGTAACAGCCATCAATTATGAACCAAATAACCTGAAAACAAACAAAAGAACACTTTAAAATATGCAACACCTCTTCACAAAAACAGTTTGTTTGCAATAGTGCATAAAGGTGATTATTTTAGTAGCATGAAAGTAGCAAACAAAATCTTTATATTAAAAGACAATACTCACAAGATCATGCAAAACATGATGAAAATGTTCCAAAGAGCAATGAATATACGAAAGTACCGCAGACTCAGCAAAAGACCCCATTTCCCAGAAAGTAAAACCAATATTAATCACACACTTCTGTACAAAATATACAGATGTTTTGTAAGACGTTGGATGAGACTATATGTAAGACATCTCACACTAAAAAAACCTGTTGCAGGAAATCCACCCAATGCTGCAATTAGATCTTTAGTGTCTGTAGTGATCCTCACTGTAACAGCCATCAATTATGAACCAAATAACCTGAAAACAAACAAAACACTTTAAAATATGCAACACCTCTTCACAAAAACAGTTTGTTTGCAATAGTGCATAAAGGTGATTATTTTAGGAGCATGAAAGTAGCAAACAAAATCTTTATATTAAAAGACAATACTCACAAGATCATGCAAAACATGATGAAAATGTTCCAAAGAGCAATGAATATACGAAAGTACCGCAGACTCAGCAATTCCCAGAAAGTAAAACCAATATTAATCACACACTTCTGTACAAAATATACAGATGTTTTGTAAGACGTTGGATGAGACTATATGTAAGACATCTCACACTAAAAAAACCTGTTGCACGAAATCCACCCAATGCTGCAATTAGATCTTTAGTGTCTGTAGTGATCCTCACTGTAACAGCCATCAATTATGAACCAAATAACCTGAAAACAAACAAAAGAACACTTTAAAATATGCAACACCTCTTCACAAAAACAGTTTGTTTGCAATAGTGCATAAAGGTGATTATTTTAGTAGCATGAAAGTAGCAAACAAAATCTTTATATTAAAAGACAATACTCACAAGATCATGCAAAACATGATGAAAATGTTCCAAAGAGCAATGAATATACGAAAGTACCGCAGACTCAGCAAAAACTCTCTGATGTTGTCACCTAAAGACAGACAATGCATAATAAGAGTCACAAATATGAACCAGGACTGTTTAGATTTTTTTTTTAAATCTAATATTTGATACATTTCATAATCTATTCTAGGTCTATCCCATGATAGAGTTAGGGCCTCTGTAATGACCTGTAGCTGCCTGCTCACTGTCTTATTAATATTATGTCATACTGTCCCAATAAATTTAAATGAACTATTATTTCATAATGCAACGTTAATGAATTGTTGTTGTTACCAGTTCTGGACGATCCAGATTCATCGCCAAACCCTTGAGACTGCGTTTCTCTCTTCTTTCTGCACACAGACAGTGAACGGCACGGATAAGCAAGCAATCATCCAAATGAAAACTGACAGGTAAGTTTTGTGTTTTCACTCACAGTTTAAAGTTGAGCACAGCGCCGGCGTTCACGAGCAGAGTGCTGCAAACACAAGGAAATGAGCGACGTGGAGAGGAACAAACACTGCTGTTACACTCTGACAATACTACACCACACATATGGACAACACGAACTACCTTCTGTTTAAGAATAACACGAAATCTATCCTGCTTAGGAAAAAATTGTGGAATTTACCCAAAAATTATAAGATCTCCAATCATTTTGGCTGATTATATCCGCCTCAGTTCGTCCTCTTCTTCTTCTATCTTTGTATGAGTTCAATATGAGTCGTTAGGTCTTCATCGCCACCTGACGCCAGACACACAGCACGACAATCCTGTTGCTGTGCACTCCAGTCTGCGAAAGCTGCAGGGATCCTCAAGCCCTGGGCTGGCGATGGATAGTGGGTATTTACAAGGACCCCCTGTTACATATTGCATAAAAATTAGTGTATTCGTCTATAGTAACCAGTCTGTATAACACAGTATAGTATCATATAATATTAAAGGCAAAAAGTCAATACATTAAAAAAATCGAATAGCCTATTTGATTAAAGGGGTCATATGATGT